TGTTCTCATTTCCTCAGCGCCCCCATCACAGCAGCATATCTACAGCAAAAACCGCTTTATCTCAAGTACGCCTTGCCCAGAACAGCATTGCAGCAATCCTCAGATTGAGGGCTGCCAAAAATTCGCTTTCATTATAACGTGGGCACTTGACGGAGGTCACTTATTTTCGTCCTGATTTTTTGTGGTTTTTTAAAAGCTGTTTTGGTTATGAGTTCTCCGGAATTTGTTTTTGTAAGACCTTTCCTTCACATCGTGTGATTCATGCACAGAGGCAAAGGGTGATGCTTACCGCGCGACGGTGTGAGGATCCAGTCCTCAATCGTACGCCGTTGACACCATTTAGGCCTTATACCCTAGTGGCACAGCGAATTGTGTGAAACTTGTTTGGGACGATAAAAACACTGATTTATACGTCGGCTGGCCTTGGCAAGCCACTGTTTAGGTTGAATCTTCAAATGCCACTGAGTTTATGAATGGAAGTGAAGTGCGTGGCACATCGCAACAAAAGGTTTGTCGGCGCCAAATGTTCCAACTTTTTTCTTTCAGGTCGGTCAGAAAACGACAGTGCAGTGGCTAGGACGTGACGCCGGTACGGGTCAAATTCGGCTGTCGCGAAAAACCGTGACATCAGTGTCATTACCTACCAAATCTCCTCGAAAGTAGGCTGTATTATTTACATGATTGTTACCATAGTTGTTGTTACAATTTGTTGTTCCATTTAACAAGTGCTATTATAAAAAATTTATCACAAATATTTTTTGAATTGATCAACTTTTGTGGAATATCTGGGCAAGAAGGAACTGCAAGAATCGGCAGTACTGTACAAATATCAGAATGACTTGGTTATAGCAGCTTATGCAAGTTGTATGTCAAGTGAGCAACATAGAAAAACAAGAACTCTTTGAGAAAAATAGACAAACAACAACAAACGAGGATTCTCAAGAACCCGTTTAACAGCGAATTGTGCGTTAAACTGATTGTGCAAAGTGAGGTGATGAAGTTGAGAATGTTCTCTTGACGTGGATGACATGTGTCGATGCCGTTATTGAAGCATATTTTTAAAGTCGCCGTCACAAACTCGTCAAATTTGGCTACGTATAAGGTCAGCAAGTAAATATAAACTCAGCGACCCGGTTTTGTTTGTGACTGCGACTGTGATAATGTCAACACATCGACGACAGGTCATTGTGGGTGTTACTCGGCATTTTTCAAAATATTTTTTTTCCGAAACTGGTGCTACCTCTTCAATAATTTTGTTACTGGTAGTGGGCTTACCGATAGCATGGACGGAGTGCTTTCTAACATGAAAAATATCGAGTAAACTGAGCAAAACGATGCCCACCCATGTGGAAATTTGACGCGCATGCGCTTCATGCTGTCGTCAATGTGTTAAATAATTCAGACTATGTGCGGAAATGTTCTGTTTACCATGCTAACCCCCTAATGCGCGGTCAGAATTACAGAGAAGGAATTCTAGGAACTGATTCACGGCTCCATGACTTGGGAGAAATCCTTTCTTGTAGTTTTAAGGTAAGCCTTGAGAGCCTTTGCGGTTTCTAGTCGGAGATCCGCTTCTGTGACCAGATCCACAAGTACGGTTCCAAAGAGTGCTACAAGCCAAAGTATAGATGACCAGTATTTCTCAGTATAGGCACAATATTTACGAAATTTCGATCTTTTCACTTACACTTAGCCTTGTCTAGAAATGAGGTGAAATGATGAGAGCCAGTTATTGTTGAGCAAAGCAGCTTGAAAGTCAGCATACTACTCCTTTTTAGACTTCGATGGAGAATCGTCTTCAGAATCGCTTTCTTCCCTCACATCGCCCAGTTCTCCTCCTTTTATGGATTTGTACGCCACCTTGAATGAATTGGATGAAAACTGATCTACATAATAAGGGTTATGGTTGCCTTTGCGCAGCACATCAACTCATCACCAGGTTTTTGCCTCACACAACTACAAAGGTTGCTTCTCACTAGGCATGCTTTCAAGAGGATCAGCCGCCCACTGCGACGGGGGTGAGGGTCGCAATTGCAATTTTCGAAAGGATGTTGTATTCCTTGTTTTTGTGTATTTGTCGGTCGAGGATTTCTAGACGACTCGTCGAAGATTTTCGCCTGTTCTACTCAATCACGCTCTCCACACATTCACACTCGCCAAGCGCTTAGTCTGTGCTCTCCGCGCGGACACTCACCTCAACCCTGTTCTCACACAGTACAGAGCCATAATCGAGGATTTCCTTGACCAGTATTCACCCGGGCTGGAGGGGTTGGCTTGACGTTTACTGCGCAATTTTCAAGGAAGAAAAACAACGCTACAGCCAAAATGACAGCATTTGCCGTTTCTTTAGTCATTAGTACAACGGAAGGTTCACCCCCACTCCAATAAGGTTCTCGGTGTACGTTCTTCCTTAGGTGAAATATAAACTGACTGCTTTATGTGTAAAACTTCAGGAATCAACTTACTTTCAATATGACGTATGTCCAGAAAATATGAAGCACAAGAAGCAAGGATAGCATCACCATTAGTACACGGGGAACCAACGGCCTTTGCCATATATTTGTCCATCGATATGAGGACTGAACGAAAATACGAGTTTTTCAATATTGAGGAGGATTACTATAAAAGTACTTCAGAAAAAGAACAACCTGCACCTGAATCAGTTCGGGAGCATCAAACCACACCGATCGTATAATCCAGAATGGATAGTAAATAAGACGTGTTGCGGTCCATACGACGAGGAAAATAATAAAAATGATGTTCAAAGCCATTTCCCAATGTGCGTAACGAATAATTTTCGCCACCTCGCTGAAATTGAAATCATATTGGTATATGATGGTGAGAATATGCAAACCGATGCACAGCTAAGGACATAAACGGAAGGGCCTACTGTAATTGGTAAGCGAAAACCACACGCGACGATCACCTCGAAAAAATCGATTTCGCGCGCGCTTCTTTTTTATCATCGGAAGTCTCGTATCCACTACCCAAAAAAGAGCGAATAAAACGGTGAGAAGTAAGCATTAGACCGGGTAATTTCTAAGTAGGAAATTGCACGTCGCGCCAACCGTCCACCTATCTCGGCCAAACTGGAGAGGTCATAATTGCGATTTTTAGGGGAGCAGTCTTATTTGGCGCTGATGAAGGTTAACTAAATTTGAAAGAGTCGGATTTGTGGAGGTCGAAGTAGTGGTAGGAGAAAAGGGCGCTTTGACGGAGTTTGAGCGATTTCACAAAGAACTTCAGGACTTCAGGAAAAAGACATAAAAGATGTAAATTGTATTATTTGTCGTTTCTGATGTGAGTTTCTACCCCCTAATCCCCTCCTCCCCCGGAGCTGAAATACGATAGGAACGACCGAATAGGAACGAACGAACGATGGTGAAAGTAGTGGTCGGGTGATGAGGGGTGAGAGGGAGGTTGACTTGTTAAGACCCGCACTCCTCGCAAAGCTCGTAGTGATGCGGGTCGTATCAACACTCTTTTTAGAGGGGGAGGGTTTAAAATTTCCGAAATAGCTTGATGCCGTGGTTGACTTGACCCTTGCTACAACAGGTCCGGCCGCGCAGTAGCGCCTTTATCAATGAAAATACTATAAAAACCATACCTTCTGATTATAATGAAAAATTGCTACTTACATGAAAATATCGGCTGCATCATGTATGAATAGCACAAGTGTTCCTACACGGACCATATTCATCGTCCAGCTCAGATAAAGTAGTAATATTGTAATACCGTGATGGAGCATCATCTGGAGGAAATCCGCTCGACGAATATCGACACATAAAGTCCTGGAAAAATCATATGTTCTCAGTGATATTCGCTAAAAAATCAATGAAGAAGTACATACCCAATGAAAAGAGCCCAGTAGAAGGAAGCTTCTACAATGTAATACCACCAGATTGACGTGGAGACGTTGTGATGGGGCCAACCACGCCAACATTCAGACACATCTTTCAAATGTGGTTCTCCGATTAGTATAAACAAGCTGGAAAATAACGATAAAGCGACAAATGAGATGGGCAGGGGATACATGGCGTCATGACAGAATGGAACGCCATGCCTCTTGCAGTTAGGCCGAATGCTATTCTTTGGAAATGAAAAATTCTCTCCAAAAATAAAAACTTGGCGCTCTTCGAGTATGAGGGGTGCAAAGCGTCCGACGCGTTTATAATTTCAACTAGAGTTTTCATTAACTGAAGTTTTCTGCGACTAGGCCCTTGGGCTCCTCCCTCCTTTGGGCCCATGTCACAGACTAGAGAAAAAAATGCGACGAGACTGGAAAGAGTAAAGGGCGACCGGACAGTACGTGAAAAAGCCTTCCCAAAATTATATGCTTACTCAACAACATTACCACACATTAGCGGTGACCTCTATTTCCCAGCTAAGAGGCACAGCGCCGCATCGGCCCATATCGTCCAAGCGCTTTCTCCTTCTTGCCGCGTCGCGTTTCCCCTCTAGTCGCGGACTCATCAGTCTCAGGCTTAGTCTAGCTACTCATTGGGTAGAGATGACCTTTTGTAAACGCATATGTTATCTAGCACAAAGACCCATAGCGCTATCGTAAGATACGAGAATATCGCATCCTTATCCTGGTGTCAGAGTCCGCGATCCGTCGCATTTGCGCGATTTTAGCGATTTTCGCGAAACCTGCGATGGATCACAGGAGTTGGAAGTGCCCGATGAATACTGCGAGGTGTTGTTTAATCCTGCTGCGAATTCTGCTTGACAGTGAAGATTGAAAGACGACAGTTCGTGATTCTGTCCTATAACGTGAAAAATTCAATTCCTGTGATTCGTGGCAAGCTTCGCGCGGATCGCAAAAATTGCAAGTGCCCCATTTGAACATTTGAAACACAATATGAAACAAGTGGAATCATGAGCAGTCGTCATTCAGCCATCACTATCAAGCAGAAGTGGCGGCGGGATTGGAGAACACCTTGCAGTATTGATCGGGCACTTGTGATTTCCGTGACCCGTCGCGTGAATCGCGAAAATCAGCGAAATCTGCGACGGATCGCGGACTCTGACACCAGCCTTACGTGGGCGTGCGTAACACCGAAGGGCATACCCAACGTTTTTAGATTCTGCGGTCAACAGATATGGCGTTCGAAGATTTGGCAAATCTCAAAAAGCTTTGTATGGACTACGGTGCTACGCTCACATCGTTACATACGACCACTTGGACTTTACTCCATATTCTTTGCCAGGAAAAGCTAAACTCAGACACTCTGAAAACTGCGGCTGCCTCAGCTTCGAACGCAAAAAAGTAAACATTTTGGAGGGGGAAGTTCGAGAGTGAGCCACCAAAGCTTGAGTGTAAAGTCACAGTATCAGAGCCATTTGCTTATTTGAGTGAGCGCCGACCACGGCAGCCCATTGACGTAGTTTAGACAAGCCAGTAAGTAGCCCATATGCCCACTCATCCAGGAAAGATGCCACTCCGTTCGAGCGTTTTTGAACGCAGTGGTGCTGCATATCTTTCCGCTGCGAAATCCTGCATTGTACTCCCGCAACGGAAACCTTTGTAACAGGCGCGTACTGTCACGATGCCATATGCCCACAGCAAGATAAGATAAGTGTTGAACAAGGAAAATTGTGCTTACCCTGCTGTCCATGCACATACATAGAAGCACAACCGCCACGCACATTCAGCGACCCGTTTGAATTTACTTTTTCCCGCAAATCCACCTAAAACTTCCTTATTCAGGTAATTTATTATATGGTAATGAATAAAAATAGGAGGTGTCCATTATAAGATGTGCTTTGGAAATGCCAGACCTCAAGGATGAGCATGGTACAGAGGGCGGACCGTTGACAGTACTTTTGCCTATTTTGAATGAGAGGTTGGCAATGCTTCCTTGCCTCCGCTATGATAACAGAAGCTTTCGATTTTGATTTTACAGGTTACTGCCAGGTCCTTTCCAGAAGAAAACTACAACTCCGATTCCGAACATTTAACAATTAAGGCCGCAGGCTGCAGTTATAGTTTGCTCGTTCGACGTGCAGCCGAGAGCAGAGCGATACTTATCGATCGTCCAATCGTGCGATCGCGTGATCGCATGGTCAATACGTATCTGCCCTCACTCATTTGCAAATCGGGCTATAAAAGATACCTGAGGCCTAAGAAATATCCTTCATACCTGATATATGTGCCCATATTTGAGGTAGCAATGGTGCACGAATCCATCCTCCCAGCCAACCAATTGGTAAGAACACAAATGATTCCAGTAGTAACCGCAACACCTCAAGAGTCAAAAAGTATTAAAAATACGTAGTGAAAGTATGAATAAAATTAGAACATACCAGTAAGGCAAAACCTAAGATTATTGTATATTGAAGGTCCGCCACATGTGGATAATGCACCTTATCGTTATCCTTCATGTCAGACCATGAGACATTCTCTGGTAACCAGAAAGTCTCATCCCATATATCCCTCATCGCCACCTGTAAAAGAGATCGTTGCAACAGCAAAAGAACTCCATGAAAGTAGAAACAACGATGAAACGACAAATGGCATCTTTCAGCGCAAATCTGATTGCGCGTATCACAAAAATAAAGTTTCCCTGAAAAAAAAAACTGATAAGTTGA